ACTGGAATATAAACGATATGCGGACGACCAGGGGCGTGTAAACGGTTGAAACGAATGCGTATATGTCTTCTTTCCTGCAGGCAAAAATGTGTCTGCACGTTTTTGGGGTGCCTGAGACGGACAATTTGGAAGGGGAAAAAGACGTGTTGTTCTTTTTTTTCTTCCTCTCTCTCTCCGTGTGTGTGTGTGTGTTTAGAATCGTCGCTAAAGACAAAGACGTTTTATTTTATTTTACTTTGTTTAATTATTTTTTATTTTCATCAAATTTCCAGTGGTTCACAACTGCCTGGGCTGCAGTTCATTCCCAAGCCTCACCATACTTTTCGCATATTATTTCCGTCCTGCATCTCTGCTGTGTTTGTGTTGCCCCTACGTGATTTGCTATTTCTTTCCTCCTCCTCCTTTTAGTGCGTGCCCGCAGCCACACGCACACACGCGGGACTTATTTACTGCGGTGCAAGTGAATGATTTCTTCGTAGTCAGTGGTGGCAGTGCCGCATGTGGCTGCTGCCTCCTTCCATGGTGGTGGGAAGAAGAGGGGCACAGCGCAAGGGTGAGTGGGCACAGTGGCTCCCTTTTTTTTGTTGCGAGTGCAGGGCGCTGCGTGTGGGGGTGTTGTTTTGAGGCGCGGCCCCATCAGCTACAACGGCGTGGCACGGGGTGAGCGGTTCCTCTTGTCTGCGGCTGCCGCCGTGGGTGCGCCCTGCTTGTGCGTGGCCAGCGGGGCGGGTGTTCGCGTTTGGGTGTCTCGTGTTGGATGCGGTGCGGTGCGATGGTTTCCCGCGGCTGTGGAAGTGAACTGGCGGGGGTGGCTGTGGGTGCTGCCTTTTTCCTCCATCGTGGATGACTGCTGGCGTTGTGTCGCTTTGTTGCGCGGTAGGCTGAATCCTTCCCATGCGCGGAATGACGGCACCGAAACTTTACATGTTTGCGAGCGCACTGCTCAGCTGTTTTGGGCGCATGCGCTTACGCGGCTATGCGAGAACATGCGTCTTTGTTTGTGGGTCTGTTTCTCCTGAGCGTTGGCCAACTGCATCGGTTTAGGGCGTAGGGCGTGTTGATGCGCAACAGCGGGTTATGGGGTTTGCCTGCCGCCGTTCAGTTACGAAAGACACAACAATGCCATTTTCCCTGGGGCTGGTGTGGGTGGATGTGGATTTGGGATCAAGGCGTATCAGTGGATAACTTGGCGCGCTATGCGTGGTGCTGCTGCGTGGCCTGGAGGGCTGGAGCAACCTTTCTCTTTTCCTTTTTGCCACCTTTCCACCACGGCAGCGGTAAGCAAGAGGTCTTGGCTCGCCATTTTTTTTTTTTTATTTTTGGGATGATATGGGGAGTTGGGGAGCCTAAGGGCTGCAGGGGCGCCTCGTGGAGTTAAGCGCACCCCGAGACCAAGGCGCCCTGTCCGGAGAGGGGCGTACGGCGGCGGGGAGACGCGTCCAGGAAGGGTTCGCGCCGGCCACGCCGAAGAGAAACCCCGGACGGCTCGTGGCGCCCCACCCGCTTCCACAAGGCGCCCTACATACGTGGCTGGCCGAGACGCAGGGCCCGTGGTTGCTCGCGAATGGGGGGCGCCACTTCGAGTTTCCGGAGGAGGAAGCGGCCTCCGTCGGCGAGGCCACATCGCCCACGCCCGCTAAAGGAAACCCTTTGGGCCGTCCTATTTTTCTCCGCAAACATAACCATTCTACCTCCGCACGCGTGGCTCCATCGCCCTTCCCGGGGTTCAATTGCGTCATATTCCCCTTTCTGGGCGGAGGCGAGGGCTGAAACCGAACTCCCTCGCCGGAGTCGTCTCCCCTTAGAAAAGTGGGGGCGGAAAAAATGCGATTTGGATTTTTTTGGGGTACAGCGTGCCGAAAACGAGGGGGCGGAAGAAGCCGAAACAAAACAAGACAAACTATCAAAGCAACAAACTAAAGGCGCTCCACCTTCAGCAGGCCAATGCCACCATCTTCTATTTCGCTGCCGGCCGTGGGCAAATCAGTGGGCGCGGAGACCGAACGGGTTGCAAAACAACCGAGCCAGTGGCTGACCAAAGTGAAGCGCAGGCACCTCGAATCCCCTCAAAGCCAAATTTCGCTCGCCGGGCCGCAAGGGGCCCACAGCAAAATAAAATGTGCCCCGGCGCCGCCTCACCCACGCCGCTTCCAAACCACGGCGCCTCTCCCCACCTTGAAACCCTCCTTGTAAAATCCGCCGGCATCGATGTCTGGTGTTCGCTCCGAGAAAAGGATGGAGAAGCGGTGCAGACGCCGCGCCTCTCGCCGAGAAAACCTCGACGCGAGTTCCCCACCCTCCTCTTCCCGATAAACACAAATTGGTTCGATAGGGCGCTGGCCCCGGGCGCGGCCGAACTGGCCCGGGCGGGACTTCCACCGTGCGCCACGCCCATACGCTTCCGCAGTGCGTCGCGTGGGGCACCGGTCCTCCCGCGGAGGGCTCAGAGGCCGCGGGCGCCCGTATTCCCCGCCCTTCCTCTGCCCGGCGCCCCCTGCAACTGGGGCGCGGGTCTGGAAGCTTCTCTGGGTGGCCAAAACTCAGGCTGCCGAATGAGTGGCCCGAGAGCAGAGCAACCGCTTGGGCAGCGCCCGCCGCCCCCACACCACGCGCAGCCCACCCGGCACGCGATGCACCCGCAGGCGATAGGCCATCCAACGCGCCCCGAATCCCCCGCGACACCGAAACTAATTAACCGCTGCGGTTGCCGTGGGGGGCGGAGGGTCGGGCAAAGTACGGCTAGGGCGGCCTTCGCGATTTTGTGCGNGGTGCCAGCTGAGTGGGTGGATA